GAATTCAACTCAAAGATTATTATCTATAGAAGTAGTTGTGAATCATCATTTTTAGCTATAAATTTGAATTATTTTGACATTGAAATTTATCATGTGGCGACATTTGGCATCGTCCCACGTGGGATTAAGTTTTATAAGGTGGGAGGCAACTTGACAGGACATACAACGCGTACTCACCTTGCTCTTATCAGCAACACTCGGAATAATAAGATATGTAAGAAGATAAGATGATTTTACATCCAAAACAAGCAGAATATGATTTATTAAAGCGATAAAAGAAATCAATAACCATTACAGCTTAAACATGTGGTAATTCTTTAAAATGTGAATCATCTTTTGCAAAAGAGTGGACGAATTGCATTTTTTTTATATATATATGCAGTTGTTTTCATAGTTAGATTATTTTTTATACTTTAGTTCATATTTTAAATTATTTGTCTGCATCGAAAGAATAAATAGTTATAAACTTAGTTCATTTATTATTAAAATTTTTAATGCAATAAAATTATTGCACTACAAGTTTATTACTTACTAAACTATATATATAGAGAGAGATAGAGATTATTAATACAGATTGAGAGAATAAAATAGACATGTTGAGGAGAAAAATTTTTGTATTTTTCATTTAATTTTATACACGCTAAAATTATTTTACATCATTATAAAAATATCGAAAAATTTTTAGTTTGAATTATTTTTAATCTGACGGTTCTCGAGTTACCACCATTTTAAGCAGTTGGTAGCTTTTTTTTAAATATTTTTCTCGGTTACAGCGCCATCTGTAATGCAAAATGGATAAGCCTACAACTCAAATAGGGTTGCTTTTTTTCCGGAGAATTCGAATCTGCAATAAAAAATAGTGATTTATTTACTTTTCGGTCCTATCTATATTTTACGAGATATTTGGCTGTCTTTTATTAGTTTTTTACTCATTTAAATTAGAAATTATNATATATATAATTATTATTTAGAATAAATATGTGAATTTTCGGTTTAACAAGACTATCGTCAACAGTGATATTATTTTCCGTTTGGAGGAATATTTTCAAAACTATATCACCTAAACGAAGCACTATTAGTCCATAAGTCCTGCACCCTGCATAACTCCGTCACCCAATCGGAACAGTGTATATTTATTCCGTATAATCCAATGAATAATTTAAATGTCCATGTTTAATGGCAACTATAGACTGAAAGCAGTAAAGCAATTGTTTTTCACGTAATTTAATAAATTTTAAATTTAACACTAGATTGCCTAAGGAAGTCATTTTGACTGCTTTTAATTTGAATTAGAAAAACAGTGATGCATATAATGACACAATTTCTTATTTTGTACAACACATAATTTTTTTACTGTTAATATTTACTAATAACCTGTTATATAATTGTAAATGATGTAAAAAATATTAAAAATTTGTTTTAAACAAATTTCTTTACACATTATTTATTCTTTTACAATCCAGTCATTTTGACTGCTTTTGGGCAATATAGGTATACACAAAGTTTCCGTCTTTCTAGTGTTAACTAAATGTCAATAGTAAAGGAATAACCTAAAATTAAGCAAAATCTTTCCTTTTTTTTTTTTTTTTTAAACTTTTCTAATAATTTTTTAAGAGGCCTAAAGCTACTATAAGTTATTTTTAAAACAAACAAACGAATAAATTATAATAACGCGCTTAGCCTTCAATTTAAATTTTGCTTTATCTATAGTGAGTTTAATGTATAATCAAGTTCTATACGATTAAATTTAATCCGATTTTGATTACAAATCACTATCCGATTATAAAAACAAAATTGTGCAATCCATCATTAAAATTAAAAATAAAAATGACTCTACAACGTGATGTTAAAATGAAGAAAATAAAGAAGCAAAGTGTGAAAGGATTAAACAATATTTATTTTGATATCACAGTTCTGAACGCCAAGTCATCATCGTGTTCGAATTGATGACCTCGATAATAACACAGACCGATTTTTAGTAATCTTTAATTCAAACAAACACAGCGTCACACCCTGACCTGATGGCTTTCTTTTATTACTTAATGATAACCTGCGAGACTATTTAAACTTTAAAAATACATTAATGTAATGATAACCCGCGAGACTATTTAAACATTATAAAAACGTTAATGTAACCTTCTGCCGAAAGGAGAAGTAAAATTCTCGGAATAAAATAGCTTCAGTTTGAGAATCAGAGCGAAGAATTGGATTGGACAATCGGTTACCGTTTTGGAGTTGAAGAAAAGAAAAGAATTGGAAGAACACACACCTGAGTCTCGTCTCAGATGCCCAAGATATATCTACTCTTTTTTTATCTTTATCACTTTGCTCGATATCTCTATATCGTATTTTGTGATTTTTATTTTTCTCCTTTGCTCTTCCTTATCTTTTCAAAGGACAGTTCATATTCTGGAATTGCCAATGTCTTCCGGGTGGAATGTTTTGAGTGCCTTTTGTTTTCGATTTTCTTGGTGAGTTGTATTTGCATAGATTTATTTAGGCCTTTTTTTCCACATAATGCTTTTCTTTCGGTACTTTAGGATTCATATTCTTTTGAGAAAATTTTTATATTTTTGATGATGCATCTGAGCACCAGTGGTGCTTCGTGGAACCCTAGAGTTCCGCGGGAGAGTTAAAACGTTAAAAAAAAACGGTAATGATTTTGTAAACCTGTAATTATATTTAGATTCAATCAATAACCCATTATTTATTTAATATTTCGGTTACCTCCATGAAATATTTAAAGTAAAATGCCAATGAAAAGGAAACGGCAATTTTTAATATTGATTACATTATGAATTAACAGCATATTAAATACATACTAATAAATATATATTGGATACATTATAGCTTAACAACATATTAAATAGATACGTATAACACTATATTGAATACATTATGAAAAGGATATACATTTCTGAAAAAAAATTGCATTAATATTTCCCATCACGCTTTACAAAACACAATAAAATAACTAAATTCGTTAATAAAGAAATATGTTTTCCTAATAACTATTTTCAACTTTAAAACATTTCTAATGGTCTTCATTTCAACGAAAGCTATAATACAGTGCATTTTATTTATTTTCAATTTCTTTACGTTCACAAAAGTGAAATTCAGAACTAGATAGTTGTAGATCTAGGATTGCGAGTTCAATTGTGTCAGTCATAAAATCTGATTTAAGATTATTAATGATAAAACGATGAAAAAAAGTCATTCCTCCTTTCATATTAAATATTTTAAAATTTTTTTGGATTATATTAAGTGAAATACGTTCACAGTTGTCATTATATAATTTATTTATAAAGTCGGTATCCTGCAGAGGAATGTTAATCATTTAGTGCTTCATTACGCAAAAATTTTTTTAATAAAAAATGAGGACTGCTGATTTCGACGATATGTTCTTGGCTAATTGAACAAAAAGCCGGCTTTTTACCGTACGCTTGGCTAATTGAAAATTGTTTAGCATTTTATGATCTGCCAGATAATTCTCAGGTTTAATAAAAATTAGCTTATATGCCTTTACGCTAATTAGGAAATGAGCGAAGAATTGTTTAATCAAATTGGATTTCGTTAGGCTTATTGCAATAAACCTTTAATAAATCTATTTACTAAGCCTCTCCTACTCTGTGCGTATTCCAAACTGCCGGAAATAAATCAGTCACATTGAGCAATAAATGATATATTTTCTAAATAACCTAGAGGTAAGTAGGCTTGTTTCAATAAAGCTAAAAAATGCTGCGTTGGTTGGAAAATACCAGTGATTTATCTAATTAGCTTAATGAATTTCAAAGCGGTGGCGACTGTTTATAACAGTTCGAGTGTGCAATTAGCCTACAACAAACTCTAACAGTTAAAATGAGACCCATCAAAATGCCATTTTTTGCAGGAGTGACAAAAAAAAAACTATTCATTAAAACTCCTTAGAATTTTAATTGAGTCATGTTTCGTCATTAGCTCATAATTTATTTTCCGAAATAAAGCTGGCATCAATTGCCGCAAAACGGGATAACTTTGAGCCACTTTTTATTTTATTTTTTCATTTTTTAAGAAATTGCAACGAAGAATTTTGAATATAATTTTTAAAATTTTTCTGCGCAAACCTTTTTAATTGTGGCTGATAAAAAATCATTCTAGATTCTTACTAGACAAATTATTTGAAAAAAAAATTTTTTTCGTGGAAAATTTGGATGTTTAAGACTAAGTTACCTTGAGTTAGGTAACAACTATTACTATACATGCAAAATTTTAAAAAATAGTTCAAAAAAGTTTTTTTTTATGCGACAAAAGAATAATAATAGGTTAAAAAAATTTGCGTTATATTAAATTTGAGTAATAAAAATTTACGTTTATTTTTCAACTTCATTCCTTTTCATGGCAATTTATTTTATAATTTTTTAATGAATCTTATTCTTATTCTTCTTAGACACTACAGTTGGTTGTTTTCCAAGGCCGTCTGAGTTGATTTCTAGATCTATTCAATTCTATATTTCTCCATCTGTTAACTCCCAAGTCCTCTAACTACTTCTCTATTCTATCTAAACATCTTGTTCTAGGTCTTCCTCTTTTTCTTTTTTCCTCTGGCTTTTGTAAGTTTATTTTTCAACAGAATTTTTATCGCTATATCGAATGCTTGTCCTAGCCAACTTATTTGTGAAACTTTGATCACTTTTACTATGTTAGGTTCTCTGTATTTTGATCGTAATTCAAGGTTTTAACGAATTCTCCAGGTTCTCCCTTCCTTAATAAATACTGATTCTACTAAGCAAATGTATTTAAATACCTACTTGCGCTATTAGTTTGGTTTGAAACATTTCTACGAAAAACGTCGAGCTCGAAAAAAATTAAACGTTTCTCGTAATCTAACATAATGGTTTATGAAACGAGTGTTCAGTTTATTTTTATTTTTAAATAAATTTTTGTCAAATGACGTAATTAATAAACGTTAACTTAATAATCGCTATTACAATTACTACAATTTTGTTCCTCTTTTCTTGCAGTGGACTATGAAGGATAAACATTATGTCTCAGAGATAGTACTGGTAAGTGATAAAATGCATTATCGTTAACTGAGTTTTATGTCCTATCATATACTTGAAAAATCGACCATTTTGAAAAATCAATTAAAGAAAAATGGAGCTCTATTGGATTATATGATTTGCAATCTGCTGATTAGGAGGCGAGGTTATCATTCTCAAAAAGTCTTAAAATTAGTAACAAAATATGTTAGATATATTACGCTGCTAATTGAAACCTAAATAACTCTGATACATAGTCCAGTTTTGTTAAAACCAATATCAAATTATTCGCTTTTAATCAAGTTGGAAATAAACAAGGCTAAATTAAAAAGAGCTTAGGGCAATATAATGCTTGGCCACACCTTTTTTAAAGGTGATATTATTACATAAAAAAGTACCTAGTAGTATTGCTTCTAGGTAGGTACTTGTCAAGTATCCGAATTTTCACTAGATAACAATATAATAAACAGATTATCTATTTGGAAATCGTAGTATTTGTAATCCAAAACCTTGCAATGTATATATATATAGCTTATCATTCATTATATTACTCTAAGTCCTTCAATTGTAAAATAATTATATGTTTGCCAATAAATACTTCTCATGCGTCAATCAAGCTAGTTTTAATTTTTTTCATCTCTCCTTCTTAAATTTTGATTTGAAAGATTTTGATAACTTTTTTTTATCTCATTTTTATATTAATTTTCGACCCCTCATGTGTAAATTTTTGACTTTATTTTTGACAAGCTTTTTAAAAATATATCTTAAAGTGGGAGATTGTTGAACACCCTGTACGTTGATTGTAAGAGAAATGAAATACTTCCTGTATTAATTACTAATAAAAATTTGAAATAATACTGTGAAAATGGATTTCGAAGAATAAAGATATTAAATAATAGAAAAACAATACATTAAATTTTAAACAGATATTAAATAATAATAAATAAAATACAGATCAATTAATAATAAAAAATAGATAAAAAGTACAGATAAAAAATTTAAATAATAGTGGATACAATAATTAAAACACAAATAAAGTAATCTGGTATTATTAAAATATAGATAAAAAAATAATAATGAAATTATCAAATACAATTATAAAACACTTTCTTAATTTTTAATAGTTTTTAATTTTTATATAAATAATGAAAATTAAAAAATGCACAAAAAATAATTAAATAATATTGAAAAAACATGATAAAATATATTGATAAAGTAATAAATAATGTTTAAAAAGTACAAATGAAGTCAAATAGTAATGAAAAATGTATTAAGATTTGCACATTGAATAATCAAATAATGTTGAAAAAATGAAGATAAAAAGTCAAATAGATAAAAGATACAGGTAAAGATTTAAACTAAATACAAATTGAGAAAATTAAAATGTAGATATATTCTTCTTAAATGAAAAAGAATCCAATTTTTGATAGAAATTGTTATATTTAGTATTCTGTTTTCTACACTCATTTCTTTCTTTCATAACCAATTGTTTTCAAAAGACAGACGAAACTCACTGACTCAGTCTTACCCAAATGTCTGCATTAATTTTTCTCTGAGCCTCACTAATACATTATAACTTTATATAAATGTATTGCATAAGAATAACATTATATTCTAGCCTTGAGGAGCATTTACTGCAAAATAACACACCGCATCTCACAACAGTTTTTTTTACGTATCTAAATTTATTCAATGCATACGAAATACGCGAAAAAATTGTTTTTAAAATTCGCGTTCTATTCAAATGATAGTTTTTCGTGTTAGTGGTGTTTACCTTGACGGTTGAGTGAGTTTTGAGTATTTTAATAAAGGCACAAATCTCGAAAAACACATTTTGGTTGCTTGTTATTTTACTGGAATATATAAGCCGAATAGAACTGTTTATTTCCTAAAGGTTCGTTCATTGTGTGTTATAGTAGCGTTTTTTGATTCAGTTAGAATTGTTTTTCTTACAAGCAAGATGATGGTTGAAAAAAATATATATTTCCATAAAATATACCCGTATTTTTTCTTAATATCATTCAGCTTCATCACCAACATTTCAAATGCAGTAGTAGAAAGTTAATTTCATTGCTGCTGATACTAAAAAACAGTAAAATAGCAATTAAAATTAATTTGTTTCTGAAAAATTTAATCTAACATTTTTGACGGTTTTTACCTATAAATTGAACCTTTTACGGAATTTTTGTCATTTTCCAAAATCCGAAATTTAGTTTTAATTTTTAGTTTTTATGTCTACTGTACCATACAATAAGTATTAAGTCTACAAAAAAGTTCACAAATCGTTAAGAAATAGTTTTAAAAACTTTTCAAATTTAAAAATTATTAAAAATTGATGTTTCTAGCTTTAGATTATGCTTCAAATTTAGTTTTTTCTCATTTATTTTGAAAAAAGAAAGAAAGTACTTTAATTTGTTTTAAATTCTGGCTATTAATGTTTTTTTTTTAAAAATTAAAAAATATCTAAAATTAAATACGCATAGATTGAATTTTGATTTATTTTTAAATTAACCAAGATAAAAATAAAAAAATAGATAAAAACCTAGAAATTTTTTACAAATTTCTTGAAGAAAAATCCTACTTTAATTTATACTTACTTTCATTTATCTTCATAATTTTTGGCTTAATACTTTAAAAATTTAAAAAAATATCTAAAATTAAATTTGCATAGATTTTCTTTTCATTTAAAAGAAACCTAAAAATTTCTAACAAATTTCCGGAAGACAAATTATATTTTACTTTATGCTATAATTTATTTATCTTCAAAAGTTCTTGCTATTCTTTTTTTTTTTTTAAAAAAATTGATGTTTATATTTTCTTCTCAATGTTCAAACATTCTTTTTTTTCACATTTTTTCCTTTCCTATTTAAAGTTCACATTTTTTACAAAAATATAGTGAAATTATGTTTTAATTTTAGTATTTGCAGTTTTACATTCATGAAACTAATAGCGTAAATTTTTACACTTAATCAGCTTTTTGTATAAATTAGATTCTGCGCAGTACGTATTTCAAATTTTAGATTACAATATTTTGGTACAAGATATTACTTTATTATTTTATTGACTGTTTTGAATTACTTCAATTACGAAAAAAAATATTTTGTGAATTATTTCAAGTACAAAAAAGTTAGTTTGTGAAAAATGACCACAAACAAACCACTGATTTCAACCTCACATTCCTACAAAGGGTAGAGAAACCGGAATGGAAAAATCGAAAAATTTTAAGAGTTTTTTAGAGCATTTTTCTAACCACATCCTCCTGACACTAGATTCTAGGTCAAAGGTTAACCTAAGAAGAAGAAACATATTGTAATTTAAAGCGGTAACAAAGAACACAAAGCTGCTCTTAAAAGAAAGCAACGATTTTAAGTGATTATTTTCTATAGAGGGTCGAAGAAGGAAATATTTCGATATTGCATTTACTTATGGATAGAGTAAGAAAAGAAAAAAACATTGTCGTATTCAATTTTCTCTATCTGCAAGAAACAGATTATCAAATTTTACAAAATTCTCTCTGTTTTTATTGAAAAATATTTCTGAGAATGTTCCTAAAGAACATTACAACAAATTAAGGAAATTATTTTACGTTTAACTAAGGCAAAAAACACAAAACTATCGTTGAGAGAAAGTGATATTTTTAATTGATTGTTTTTTGTAGCATATAGAACGAGAAATTGGGTAATCTAAAAGTAATAATGTTTAATTTAATCTTCTCTACATAGCCAAGAAATTACTAATCAAATTGAAGAAATTTTCTCTATCTATCTTTTCTCAATTCTCCCCCTTTTTTTCTTTCTCTTTCGTTTTTAACTAAAATGTTTTTAAAATGCCTTGTTCGAATATTTTGTCAAATCAAGGAATTAGCGAATTTGTCGTTAAATTAAGGTAAAATAACGCAAGATTATTGTAAGTTTTTGATTTAATTGTTTTCAATAGCATAAAGTAAGAGAAATTTTTAACTTTGGATAGGTAATCAGAATAAGTATTTTCTTACTGAACTGTTTCCCAGAAAATGCTTCGAGTGAGCATTTCGTCAAATTAAGGAAATAGCCTAAATTGACTTAAATTAAAGCCAAAAACAGACTTTTTCTGAAAAAAAAGCAACATGTTTAAATAATTGTTTTCTTGAAGCATAATCTAAAAAGAATCATGTCTTATTGCATCTTCTCTACACTACAAGAAATAGCTGCTAAAACTTCACGAATTTTTTATTATTTGAAACTGTTTTCAGAAAAAATTTTCCTGTGAACATTTCGTAAAATTAAATTAAAGAAATTGATTGACAAAATAGAAGCTAAATTAATGCAAAAAATAAAAAAAATGCTTCGAGTCTATTGTCAAAAGAAAGTAATAGTTTTCCACAGCATGCTTACCTAATCATAGATAATCGAAAAAGAATAATTCATATTTATAATAAGAATAATACATATTCATATTAAGAATAATACACATCTCACAATTTTATTAACAAAACTATTTCCCAGAAAATGCTCTGAGTGAACATTTTGTCAAATTAAGGGAATTGCTTTCCAAAATTTATGTGAAATTAGGGGAAAAACAAGTCTATTGTTAAAAGAAAGAAACATTTTAAAGTAATTGTTTTCTATATATTGGAAGAAAAAGTTTTACCTAAGGATAGATAATTGGAAAAAAATAATTCTTATTTATTTTTTTCTACATTACTTCTCGATACACTTCTGTTTCCTAGAAAATGCTTCGAGTGAGCAGTTTGTCAAATTGAAAAAAATTGCGAGGCAAAATTGACGTCAATTGATATCAAATTAAAGCTGAAACGAACACAAGTTAGTTTTTGCTTCATAGAAAGTCAAAGATAAAATAATTCACTATAGTATTTACCTATTAATAAGATAATTTGAAAATGCCTTATCCAATCTTCTCTACACTGCAATAAATAGATTCCATTGTAACAGACTAACAGTCATAGATAAAAAAAAACGATAGTACTTTTTTAAAAACTACATAAAAAAATTAGTCTAAGCATGGCTTCATCAAGAATGTGACTC